TGGAACTAGAGAAATTAGCCATGAAAATGAATGGAATTAATTTGTAGTTAATATTAAATCAATAAAGATTATAAGACCCGGGTACTTTATAATATATGACATTTGAATTTGAGAATAATACCTGGATATTAATATTAGGGGATACTTTACATGGGGGGGTACTAATGGCAGTGCTCTATGGTACTAGAAAATCTGGTTGATTAACTATCAAATAATATATATAACAATTAATAATATTAAGATTCATCTTTTTTTCTTGTACAAAGTGCACTTTAATATTATTATATTTTGTCATAATTTTCTTTTATAAAGAACTTATTGAATTTCTTTAGATTAATTATATTAATATTTGATCTTGTCTTTTTATTATAAACAAAATAATTATTTTTAATAATCATTAATTAATAATGATTATTTATATTATATCTCATATTTTTGAAATGAATTTTTCTGAACTAAGATTTATTTTTGAAGTCACAAGAGCATTTTTAGCAAAAAATATATGAAAAGTGATATATCTATATATTCTGAATGTGTTTGTTCAAAAATATTTATTGTTTATTTAATCTAATCAAGAAGTTTTTAGTATTCTAAAAGTCATTATAATTTGTATTCAATATCATTATTATACATATCATTTCTTGATTATTTTTAAATAGTTCTATTATTTTTGTTAAAAAGTTACTGATATATATATATCAAGATCTAATTTTTTTTTATAATGATTATTCTCTCTTTGAATTCTATATAATATATAATTTATTATAAGTATAAAAAATAATTTCATCATGAATTATCCAAATATATTTTTTTTCATCATTATTTAATTGTGAAAAAGTTCTTATTCTGCAATCTTCATCAAGTCACTTAGACAAAAATTAATTAAATTTAGCAATTTCTTAAAGAAAAACTTAATAATAAATAACTATATCTAATTATTTATATTCATTTATATAAATAATCTTTTTATAATATTGATAGCAAAATTCAAGTTTTACATACATTAATAAATAGTTCAAATAAAAATATATTGAATAAATTCAGTATTTAATCAAGAAAGAATATGTTGTTTAAAATAATTTTTAATTATTATTAAATATATATTAAACTTTTGAGAATATAAACAAGTAACAAATTCAAGATAAATAAACTTATTGTAAAGTAGACTTTTAGAGAAAATCTTTCTTAAAGATTTTGTATTGATTTTTCTAATTTGAAATATATTAATTTTTTTAGAAAAAATAAAAAAATTGAATATATCTTTAATACATATATTTATTCATTTTTGAATACAAATTACAAGTTATAATTCATTATTAACAACTTTTGCAACTAATTTTATAATCTCTATTTTCTTTTTATTATTAAGTATTAATTGAAAAAAAATATAAACCTGTTATATAATGAGCTTTTTTGATGTTTAAAAATAGCTTTTTTTGCATTATATTTTTGATAAACTCAACTATTTTGAAGATATTTTCAGTTGCATCATTATCATTATCATTTTTATTTATATGATTTTGATTTTGAAAGTTATTAATTGCTAATAATTAATTATTTGTAAAGATAGTAATACAAAAAATTGTGTAATTTTTAAAGATCCTATTGCAAATTTCTTTAATATTTTATTTTTTCTTTGTTGTGTTCATTTAGAATTTCCAGGATAAATAACTAAATGCCACTTTTTCAAAACTTATTGCTGAAGCTACAAAAAGATAATTAATAGTTAAATTTACATTTTCTTTATCCAACTCATTATCATCCTCTTGGAAATCATTATTTGAACTAATTGAATTGAAATTATCATTTTCATACTTTTCACTTGAGCCAAGTAAAACAAGAATATTACTATCATTAGAACTTTCTTATGAAATTAATCAAGTTAATTATTTATTTTTTTGCATTTTAATTCCAAATAAAATAATTTATAATTATTGTTTTAGTATCAACTGAATGAAATGAGTTAAATATACTCTTTTTCTTTGTAAACTCTTCAGTTTTGACATTTTTGATATTTTGACAGAAATAATAAAAGAATTTATACATGTATTATATGATTTTGATTGGTTATATCTTATAGTTATTTAAAATATAAACACTTTTAATTGGCTACATCTTACAATTACGTGATATTTATCATACCAATTTCTCAGAGTATATATAAAATTAGATATATTTTATATATTTGAATTACTATAACATCACCAATAATGATTATACAAAAAAATCCTCTTACAGAAATGTAGTTCCATTTAAAAACTATTATTCTGTAATAGAATTTTTTTATATAATCATTATTACCAAATTTATAATATTTTTTGTAAGATAACTAAAATTATATGATTTAAGCTGTCCGATACTATATCAAAAAGCAAATGTATTAAAATTTGTTTTTATTTTAATAATAATATACTTGTAAATATGTAATTAATTTTCTCAAGTTTTCAGATTTAATAAAAATTTTATGATATGTGTAATTCATTACTGCGAACACGTTTATTTAATTTACTTTGATCGATTTACTTAAAAAAAATCGTGTTTAATTAACCATGTAGCGAAATAGTAAAAACAGATTTTTTGCAACTCAAATACATTATGCATTGATCATCATACTAACCAAGTTCGGCGGTGTGTACATAGATGTACACTATCTCCCGGTACAAATTAAGTAAAACGTTATTTGGTTTCGAATTTCATCGTGCGCTTACTCTTATGTATTACAATAATAAGGAATTTTTCCGGGTCCCTGCCTAAACCCTAATCATAAATAAATTTTTTTAACGTTAACGTTAAGATTATACAATATCGATATCGATTTGGTAAAGAGTTGTTTTTATTTATATCTTGTTATTTCGACTATATATTCTGGTAGAGCATTCTTCTAAACTGCGTATATTAATTGATATTGATATATAACACTTAACATTAAGCAAGAGTAAAAGGAAAAAGATTAGAAGTTATAAAACAGGTTTTCAAAACAAAAAAAAAACGAGGCTACCAGAAAAATAACTACAATAAGGATGTAATATATCTTTAATTGTATCCAACTGAAAAAAAAATGCACGTGCGAAAACTTGGTGGACGCGCGTTATAATTTTTAGCTATTTTCGCAAGAATTCAAATTCAAGCAATTAATAATCATAATGATTGTAATTTGAATTAATAAAAAATAATTTACATGTTTTTATCGATCAAAACGAAGTCATCATTTACTGTTGATGGCCTAAAAACCGGAATCCTCGGCGAACGAGCAATAATTATGGGCTCATCAGGAGATGACGAAGACCCAGTATTACTACGGCTAGTGCCGGAAGACGAAGGATTATAATGAATCGGACGGCCTCTGTTGTTTCTTACCGTAATAGGAGAAAAAGGGAAACTCCTGAATATATAAATAATGATGTTTGTCAAATAATAATGAAATCAATACCTGTCAATTTCAACATCATTATCACGAACGCTCGGTTCAGTAACGGCACTTGGTTGTACCCCAAGCACCGCACCACCAACAAATTGACCAGAAATCGGAATCTGTCCAGTTGGAAGGGTTGACATCGGAACAATCACATATTGGTATCCAGGAGGCAAAAATGATAATTGCTTTTGTTGTTGTTGTTGTGGTTGAACAAACAACGATGCCATTTGTTGGTATTGTTGTAAAAGAAATTTACGTGCACAAGTCCTGCTACAATACTCATGGACGCGTCCGCTCAATTCCACGCAAACCGGTTTGTTGCATCCTTGAACTTTACAAAGATCGTTTGAGGTATGCGTTTGTTGTTGGGGATTGAATGATGTATCGCTGTGTCTTAGTGGTGCAAAAGGAGCACGAGAACCAGAGAAAAGGTTTGTGTGGTGGGAGTACGGTGGAGGTGAAGAAAATAGACTACCATGATAACGATTGGCACAAGTCTTTGAGCAAAAAGGGCGTGCGTTGCCAAGTGGGTCAACGTAGATTGGTTTATTGCAGCCAAAAGTTTTGCAAGTTGTTTGATTAGGCAGCGCTGTATTTGTTTGTTAGTAGCAATTATTTCAAAATTAGAAAATATGATTAGTTCAAATTAAATCATTATTTTACCTCTGCACATCTTAATGGGAGGGAATAAAAGAAGAGAAATTATCTAAAATATAAAAATATTGCTTGCTTCCTCTATATATTGGTTTTCCCACCAACAATCAACTAGTATGATATGTTTGATTAAGCGATTGATTATGATTGAACATATGATGTCTAATTAATCATAGCCCATCTATTAAAATCGTATACCTATTGTTGAATAATTGCAGTTATGGCTCGCTTTAGTGTAATAAAAGAATGTTATATTGTATTGTATTGTATTATGCAAGCTTAAAAGCTCAGTAATTTCATTAACTCAGAAGAGTCTTGTGTGCATCTTATTACCATTTAGTATTATTATAAAAAGATCGAAATTTTGAATACATAATAATGATGCCCACGGATACACAACACTATCTCCGAAAAGTTTTGTTGTTTGTCACTTATAAAAGAAAGAGATATCCAATAAAACAACAATTCCATTCGTTCATCCTTATAAAACACCGAGTTCTACTTATCGATCCAAGTTATGTCGTGTTAAAAAGAGATTATTCATTTCGATCAAAAAATATTCGCGCATTAACAAAATTATCGTCATGACAAAAAAAAACGTAAAAATCTCGTGGATTGAAAAGCTCTACCCGGTCGCGAGAGCACAAGTGACCAGGTCAATTGGGACGGTGTTTACCCTCTACATTCAAAGGCCGTTGCTTTAGAAAACATAAGATCGGTCTCAATACTACTCTTTCAACTGATATTCTCTAAGTGTGCCATTCCAAACAAATTAATTGAAAGGCTTCGTTAAAGTGGATTTTACTGTGTAAAAAAAGAAAATTCCATTTTCATAGTCATAGTCATAGCCATAGCCATAGTCATATTCATAGAAAAAAACTACTTTATCGTTATCCTATCTACAGAAAATGGAACTAATTTCGAAAGCTCTTGATTCGAAATTTTGTTCGGGATGGTTGCGAAATGAGAAAAATTAGGAGCAATTTTCGCCCAGCCTCTCGCGGTCAGTTGATGTCGTATTCAAATTTAGCACTCGAGAACGCATGGTCATGTCCGCGCATTTTTAACTGTTTTGAGAAATCCATTTGTATTTTAGTGTTAGGATAAAAAATCTATGATAACCATTCAAAAGGGTTTTTTGGCTAGACCATTTTACAATTGCCTAAATAATTCGATATATATCGATACCAAATAATCGTTAGAATTGAAAATACTTAGCATCGTCAAGGGATCGAAGTGAGCGCCGAAATATTGTTACAAAACTGGTTTTCCCTTTAATTTAACTTTTTATCTAATCTCGCGTTTTTCTGTGCATGAATAAAAATTCGATCTTGTCTCCATGAAATGGAATCAAGCAATCAAGCCCGTGAGTATGGAATAAATGAATGACGTTTAGATTACCAAATAAATCGTAATCAATATCATTCAATACACATGCAAAAGAAGAAAGAACTATCAATTAAATTTTCCAATATACTGTATTGGCATACACAAATATCATTATTCATTGCTATTTATGGCACAAATAAAAAAATGTGCATTTACGGCAAGAAAACCATTCACTCCAACAACCCCACGCTCACTCATAAAATTAAAAATTTACACATGAATTCATAAGATAATCACATGACTTATATGGCATTGTATTTTTGATTGACTATTAATTTCGGCCAAATTTAAAGCTCAGATCATTATTTAAAGTAAATAAATAAAATAGTTAACTAATTCGGATAAGAATTGACGTTATATATACAGTTGTCAGTATAGTAAATAAATATATAAATATACCGTTTTCCTGTAAAGACCCATATGTGTAGTACAACGGCGTGAGAGTCACAAGGAAGACCGCCCGTTTTCTAAATATCCATTATACTTTATACTCGGATCTCCAAAGTCTATTATAATAATTTATATAATAGAAAATAAATAATAATATTATTATCTATCTATCTATCAGAATTGACACCAACAGCTAATTAACTTTTCTATACCAACTCATCCTATCAACGTACATATTTCTCTCTCTGTTCTTCTGTTGAATCGTGTGTGAATTTCATAGTTTCTTTATTAAAAGAGTTGACCTCACAATTTGCTTGCGCTTCCCACCTTCCACTTCCTTTATCAACCTGAATTAATAATAACCTGGAGCTAGTTGTCAAAAGCATTCCTCATAATAGTAGTAATAATCAATTACTGCCATTGTCACCGCTTTCGCTACCTCAACATACCGACATGTCCTTTCCCACAAATACGGAACACATGTTGAGGTATCCAGAGGTGCAGGTACAACAAGAATCACCAGAATTGCTCAACGAGCAAGAATCAAAGATGTTTACTGAATTCCTTAATTCATGGATGGTAGAGGAACCGCAAAATAGTATTGTTTTTCAGCATCCGATGGTATCTGATGTGGGTTTCGGAGGTTAGTTGTTTTCTTTGATGATGTTGGATATTTGATCTTTTCAATTCGTTAAATGATGTGAAATTTGATTGAATTGGATTGGATTAGCACATAGAGTATTTAGAAGTTAGAATGTTTATTAATTGATATTTGCATTTAATCGTAAAGTTCCTTCACCAAATATACTATCAACATCGAAGGGAGGATATCAAGCAACGACAGGGTATGGGGTTGGATTTGGTACAGGATCCCAGACCATTAACACTTCAAATGGTTATATGTATCCTATTACCTCCACTACAATGTCGAACAATAACACCTATGCTACACCAGCATCAGCTTTTCAGAATGGTGGTATACCACATCAACAACATAATCATCATTTAAATAATTCATACATAGAGACATCTTCAACGTACCCGATATCATCAATACCGGTTCAAATACATCATAACAACAACAACAACAACAACAATAATAATAATAATAACAATAATAGCAATGGTTTAATTCACGATCATCACGCTGCTAATGGTGGTGGTGGTGGTAAGCATCATCACCATCATCATCATCACCATCATGTTAATGGAAAAGGAAAAGTTGTATCGACACCATACATAAAAGCTGAACCTTCAATTCCCTCCCGAAGACAGAGATCACCATCGCTTCCATTATCAGCCAATGGTACATCATCTTCAAAACATCAATCTCCTAAACGAACAAATTCCACACGGAGAACCACCAAAAATACTATCGATAATAATAATAACAACAACAACAACAACAATAATAATAATATTGGATCAACGTCAGGTGAAAATATAATAATAGAAGAAAATTTGACGTCCACGCAAGAACATATTCAACAATCAAATATAGTAGAATCATCATCGTCAACATCGACAACAATAAACAATCAATCATCATCATCGCCTAAATTAGAAACACAGGGGGAGACTAGTAGCTCTACCGCCACTACAAACCATACTGCATCTGCATCGTCGTCAAGTAATCGTGGTGGTCGTGGAAAGAAAGGGCATGAACTATTAACAGAGGCCGAGAAAAAGGCTAATCATATTGCTTCTGAACAGAAACGAAGACAGAATATTCGTTCGGGCTTTGATCAGTTGGTGGACATAGTGCCAACGTTGAGTCAATGCCATCGGAGTGAAGCGTTGATTTTACAAAAATGTATGTAATTATAAAAAACTGGAGTTTATTAACTTACCTGCACCATTATTGATATACGACCTTTTGTGTGAATTTATACGCTTAGCTGTCGAATACATTCAACAATTGTTAATTCAAAAAAGCGAACTGAAAGAACGGGTAAAGTCTTTACAGGCCACACTGGGAGATGCGTGAGTAGAAAAAAACTGCAATTTGATGGTATTACTGTGATTTTGAAATCTTTTCTTAACAATTATATTTTTTTTTTCATGACAGACCCGAACATTTAGAAGACTCGGTAATTTATTTAATATCTGTTTATGATTTTCCAAAGATGTTATTATTTACTTACCAAATTTTTATGCTAAATAGTCTTCAGAAGGAGAACTTGACCTTATATTCTGAAAAAGAGCTATGGGAAAAACGAACTCTAATCATTTCTTCGTATATATATATACACCGTTACTTTTTTATTACTTTGAGAAACAATATTGACATCATCGCCGTCGCAATTGACATACGTCACTTCAACCTACTTCATACATACATAATTACTATTATACTACTTACTCCATGTCGTCATCACCGTTATTCTAAAAATTTCATTTTCTCTATGATTGATCCCTTTACATATATACATCCCTCACCTACAACCTATATGATCGCTTCCATAAACCACGTCACATTTTATTGTATTATAATAATAATAATAATAATAATAATCATAATCAGTAGTAATGGTATTAGTAATAGTATAACACTAATAATGTTAATAATAATTTTATAAGATTTTTCTATTCGAAATCGTAAATTAATAATATAATATTTTTTACACGTTGGATAAGACTACTACACTGTAGGACTTGCAAATAATAATAAATAGAGATTTTAATGGCTAGGGTTTTTATATTCTTCGTAATCATATTCATCATTTTCATGTGTTTATAGAGAACTTTGTATTAGTCAAGTGTTACGTGGTTTATGGAAACAGATAACTTTTAGCACATTTAGTAACCCAATAACACACATACTTTTTTGTTAATCAATCCTTGAGATAATATTTTTTGATTTCTACGTTTTTAATATTTTTCCTTAATTCTCCTTCGTTCTTGTTCTTAAATTCGTTTGTTCTGTTTGAATTTTTTGAGATACTAATCAATCACAAGTAATAGCGTACTGGGATCGAATCCTTCCACGATTTGTTTGGGGCGACAAAAAAAAAAAACTAAATTATACACGCGTATTCTGTTAAAAGGCGCGTGTATCGCATCTTTTATATTTTAATTATATTCCATGTCATAGAAGCATTAGTAGAAAGTAGTGCTACAAACAAAAATCTCGTTAATTATTAATTCCCGAAATTCACATATAAAATTCACATTTACTCGTACACAAATATTCGATATAATCACCATCATAGTCGTCATCGTATTATGTCATGTTGTCTTTTTAGTCATGCTTCAAATAGCATTGCATTGCATATATTTTTTAATCGCTCCACGTGCTAATATTAATTTTGGCTACAACTTTATTATGTCGATCACTTAACAAAAAAATGCCACGACTTTGTGTCGTATGTAAAGAAGAACGCGCAAGCGTAAAACGTCCAAAAACAGGAGAACAACTATGCAGAAACTGCTTCTATCATGTATTTGAGATAGAAGTTCACTGCACCATCACAGACAACAAGCTTTTCAAGAGTGGTGATAGGGTTGCTATTGCCGCGTCTGGTGGGAAAGGTTACTATTATGAATTTTTATTTTTTGAGTGCGAATGAGCTGTTGCATTTTCTATTTTATTTTGTCCTTTTCGTGAATTTTTATCCCATCTTAATTATTACCTGGATATTCAATTTACGTGTAATAATAATAATAATAATAATAATAATAATAATAATAATAATAATAATAATAATAGATTCGACAGTGCTGGCTCATATCATGAAAACACTTAATGATCGATACAATTACGGGCTTGATCTTTTTCTTTTGTCCGTCGATGAAGGAATAACTGGATACCGGGATGATTCATTAGAGGTATGGTTATTTTTTAATTTACCCAGTAAAGTTATCATTCGATTCATTTAGATACAAATTATAATCCCTGACACACGATTCAAAATCAATACTGATCTGATTAATAGACGGTAAAACGAAATCAACAACAATACAATCTTCCGCTGAAAATTGTCTCGTATGGCGAGTTGTATGGTTGGACAATGGATGAAATAGTGAAAGAGGTTGGGCTAAAGAATAATTGTATGTTATGCTGTTGTCATTTTTCAAATAGATGTAAATGTGTTATTCACGTAGAATAATTGATAATGAAAAATTCGCCAAATCACCAATTAGGTACCTTTTGTGGAGTATTTCGACGTCAAGCACTTGATCGTGGTGCAGTGATGCTCAATACAGATCATATAGTCACAGGACATAATGCGGATGATATCGCCGAGACAGTGTTGATGAATAGTGAGCTTTTTTTGAAAGACAAAATCTACTCTTTATATATGTGTGCTCGGGAGAGCTATTCTATAGAGAAGCAAAGTTTATTGATCTTGGTTTTTAATAGTACTGAGGGGAGATATCGCACGACTTGAACGATGCACCGAAATCTGCACAACTGGTGATGGCCGAATACGACGGTCGAAACCTTTTAAATATGCGTATGAGAAGGAAATTGTCATGTACGTTGTTTTGTCGAATGATTACTATCATTCACTATTAGTAATAATAGTATTTGTTAAAAATAATTGGGTGGGAAAATTATTAGGTACGCATACTTCAAAAAACTTGACTATTTCTCTACCGAATGTGTGTACTCGCCAAACTCATATCGTGGACACGCGCGAACGTTCTTGAAGGATTTGGAGGCGATACGGCCTAGTGCTATTATAGGTATTATGTTATGTTATTAATGATTCTTTATGGCAAAATTAAAATTTTTATATTGATTTAATTTTGTGCTTCGACGGTGAAGATATAATATATTCAGGTGAAGCATTCCAAATCAAACAAGAGGTAAAACTCCCGACACAAGGCGTGTGTAGTCGATGTGGGTACATGTCGAGTAATGAGTTGTGTAAAGCGTGTGTTTTGTTGGAAGGGTTGAATCGTGGCTTGCCGAGGTAATTCAGTTTATTTATCAATGATAATACTTAGTTTGAATTTTTTATTGACAAAATTTTTCTTTTTAAGACTGGGAATCGGGAAAACTAATCGACTGGTATTTAGTGCTTTTACCAACAAAATGTTATTGACTCGCATATAAATTATATTTACTCTTTTTTTGATACTTAATCAAAATTAACAATAGCGTAAAATTCATGGTGAAATGCCTGAAAACACTGCAACGATGTTACACTTCAGTCAGCTACAGATTGACGGGGAGAACGGGAAGAGCGAATCAGATGAAGGTAAAAAGCGGAGGTGATATTGATTGTGGTGGCATTATGACGCTGATATATACAATTTGAGAGGTTGGTTCAAATGGTTAATTTTGTTTACAGTTTGTGTTATTTATTTTCAGCATACCAAATTTTGTTTTTTTCTCTTTGAAAAATTAAATCTGTAAACGAAAACTGTACAATGCAAAATATGTCTCATTTTTAGCCTACATTATGTTGATTAGCGTTACGGTATTAAAAAAATTCACGCTCATGTGAGCGTGATGTGAAAAAATCTGACTTGAAGCACTAATAAAAAATCATGGGAAGGCAATTTTACAAATTTCAGCCTCAGTTCTAAGCTTAATCCCAAACGACTAAATAGCCTTTAATGTTAGTTTAAAACGTGTCACATGAGCGCGAATTTTTGTTGGCGACGCCGGTAAAAAACAAATCCGACACAAGCAAACGAAAAATATGAAAATATGAAAAATACGGGTAAATCTTACTTGGAGCTCTAGTCCGGGGTGAGGGAGGGATTTATTTACTTTTAATATTTGCCGGCACACATACCGATACAATTTGTAATTTCTCAGAAAAAAAATTAACCAATTAAATTGTTGTTATAATTGAGGAAGCAAGTTATAATAAAAAATCGATGATCGCATTTTAGCTCCCAAATTTCACCCAATCATCTATTACCGTTATTGAGCGATCCAGAAATGAACAGGGCTTATAATTACGCCTTGCACTTCTGATCGTGGTTTATTAAGTGAATAAAGAATGAGTCATCACGAAAATTTCGGATCTTAACGTTAAACTTGTTTTGATAACTAATCTCGCAAATGTCACGAGACACGCAAGCAGATCAATTTCAATTTGATAGATGTTGTGTGTCATTCTATAAACTAATAACTCTAAGTATCCGGTATGACATGTAAAACATTTCTTTGGTTCTCTAGATTTGAGATTTTTTTTATTTCCTGGCAACTAGAACGCGAGATTTAGGAGTCTTTGTAATAAATCAGCCTTTTCTTTTTATGTGAGAACTGTTTCCACATATGCAACACAAAAATAAATAGACCTTATATATTATATTAAAATTTTCGAAAGCGATCGTGTTTTTCGTTCTCTTCACATTACTTGAGGGTTTTCTCTTTAAATTACTTTGCTCCTTACCTCCTTAAATAAATGCCTATTTTTTACACAATCCCTTCTTTCCATACTTGAAACAACAACAACAACAACAACAACACGCACTTTCATTTAAATTACCGTTTTCTCGCGCGTATTTCAGTAGTAAAGCGCGAGAGACAGAATTTTCAAAGAACTAACAAAAAATGGCGTTCAACTTCAGCTGGCCGTCGTTCAGTCCAGAGTTTATTGAACAATCGAGACAGTTGTTAAATACTGCCCTGAATAAAAGTAATAAACCGGCTAATATTGTTGATCATATTGTCGTAAAGGAACTGAATATGGGCACACAGGTGAGGGAGAGAGAGCGAGGAGCGTCCCATTTGGTGATATTGGTGTATTTTTTTTTCCTCATTGACTCTTTTTGTATCTTGTATGAAAATATATAACAGGCACCAGAATTAGAAATTCTTGAAATTGGAGAATTAGCTCTTGACAAGTTTCGAGGCATATTCAAATTAACCTATAGCGGAGATGCTTATTTAGTGTTACAGACCAAAGTTCAGGTACTATATTACTTTTGTTGTCATTTTAATGAAAAATAGTGATTTTAATAATAATGAATTTATATATATTGAGGTAGGCTAATCCAATGAATAATAACAAAATAGAATCCACATCATCATACACGCGTCGTGGTATTCTAGCGGCAGATCAACCATTGGTGGTGCCGATGCTTTTACGACTGAGTAATTTGAAGCTGAGAGGAATCGTCGTGTTAGTGGTTAGCAAACAAAAGGGAATCACGCTAGTTTTCAAAAATGATCCATTGGAAAGAGTCGATGTTTCGTCGACTTTTGATAGCGTGACTAGTGTACAACGGTTTCTGCAGACGGAAATCGAAAAGAGGCTTCGAATAATGTTTCAGGAGGATTTACCATCGATAGTTCATCAATTATCATTACAGAAATGGTTGAATAATGATAGGAAAAATAATAACTGCAACAATAATAAGAAGACTTTAGAAAAATCTAATTCACCTTCTAGATCCTCATTTACTACATCAGCATCTTCGGAACAACGAGGCCCATTTATTGATCACCACACCAATGTCTTTAATGACTACTTTACAGAAAGTCCTGTTCTTCCACATGAGACAATGTCAATGCCTGAACTTGGTGGTGGTAATGGATATTTTTCTCCATTATCAACACCCAGTTCTGACTTATCAGTAAACACATCTCCCGATTCATCCTTTTACGCGGAAGATGGATATTCGATGATGGGTGGAGATCTTGAATCACTTGACGGATTTTCCGCGTACTCGACTTACTCCAATTTCGGTGAACTATTTGATAAGGAGAAAGGACTAAAAGCGATATCCCAAAAATATAAAGGTGATCAGTTGCTGGATTCAAGTCGGCCGCGTGTACTTCATCGTCAAGGATTAGCAGCGACTGCTGGAAAACCACTACAACAACGAAGAGGCTCATTACCTACTTGGCTCCCTTCCTCTCATAATCTACCATCACTTCATGATAACAATAATCACTATTATTATTATCAACATCATCATCCCCCTTCACATCTTACTCCTCCCCCTCATAATCAACAAAATCAACAAAATCAACAGAATCAACAAAATCAACACAAAACTTCACAACAACAGCAACAACAAGAATTTGTTTTACAGCCGTCAGAAACCTCAGTTGCTGCTCAACTTGCAACCTTAATGAATTCCAATCACACAATCTCGCCGTACACTCGCACATTACAACATCTCACCTTTCGATCTTATCCACATCCAATCAACAAAAAACCGGCAAATAAACGTGCAAGGTCGGGGGTGAAACGTAATGTGTTGAAATTTCCTGGATTAATCTCAAATGGATTTGGACATTATGATGATACTAATAATAATATTATTATTAATGACAAGATCAATAATATCAATATTAATAACAATAATGTTCTTGTTGTCAATGCTGACGATATCGATGAAAAGCTGTGATTGCAAAAAATATATGGCATACTTTTTTTTGTAATATTATTTTATTCTTTGTTAATTTTATATTAGATTATTATTATCTATTAACGAAGTTTGTTAATTTACTACAAACCTATCTAAAGTTACACCATGTAAATTACTCCTCTCTTCATTAATATTACTAAGAAGAATAATAATACATCATGATTTTTAGCAATATATTAAAAAAACCCTAAATCTGCTATCACTACGATTAATAAAAACACCAAAGATAAATAAATATGATAAATTTTATTTTCCGAGTTTTTTTCGATCTCATGCATTGATTATCTTCAAGATTTTCCCTCTGTCTATCAAGTGCAGAGAGCTCGTGCATCATTGCTGTTTGTAATGCCACATGTATATCGATATGTATAACTTTATGTTTGTGTTCACATCAGTCACCGATGTCCTAAATAAGATTTCGGTGAAGTGAGTATAATGTGAGTATAATGTATGCTATACATATATATATCGATATGTATTTATTTTAAAAAAGTTGTGTGACTGTATAGAACTATGACTGTAGCACGTAAAATTAGTATTTTTACAACGAATTATGTGAAGCAAATTCGGGCCGACATTACTCTTCTGCCCCTCCATAGTGATTAAATATAGATTAATTAGTGCTTCATCTAAATTGTATTGAGAAACATATTGAATTATATTAACAGAAAAGACAATAAATTCTCCTTGCCATTCATCCGATTCCATATGCAAAAGAAACCCAGTATGTTTATCGGAATTATTAATCAATGAACTTCTACACCAGCATTACCCCTCCTCCCACAATTAACTAATTAACCCAAAGAAAATAAATACTTTCACTTAATAAGCTTCTGGCTCCAAAGCATATCTAAAAATCAAATAAAAGATTAAATCATCAACGCTATTCAATATTCGATTTCCCGCTAACAGAAGAAAATTAATTACATCTTTACAGAAAATAAACCTTTCGGGAACCCATGTTGTGTTGATTCTTTAAGAAGCTTTAGTCCTGCTTTGCTGAATATATCTTTGAATATTTGATCGGATCTATTAATAATTTACATATAAAAAAGAGAAATAATCATCATTATAAACTTCCTTAAATTGATCAATTCATAAATGAGAAAAAGAAATAATCTTACCTAGTCACGCTATAGACTTCCTCATCAAACCTATACCCAATCATGTTAACATTCTCTTTGACACCAATAATCCCAGAATTAGGACGCAATCCCTTCTTAGCTCTCACAAAAAACGTCACCAAATCATCATCAGTCAAATGCTCAAGCACCCATTGACACCAAATCAAATCGTATTTCCCCGGGTCAGGTGAAAACTCTTGCAATCCAACACAATAAAATTCGCCCACTTTACCCGTGCCAATCTCTTGTCGTAGATACTCGTTCTGAGCGTGTTGTATGAATTTTGGGGTTTGTTCGACTAAGTCGACACGGTCGAACACTTTTGTGAGCAGGTTTTTTGTGAGGCGACCAATCCCGGCACCACAGTCACACGCGTATTTTGTCGTGATGCGTGGTGGGACCGTTAGTACATTCCGGGTACCGCGTTTGCCGCGTGTAAACTCTGAAAGGAAGAGTTCGGAAGTTTTGATGTCTAGGTTTGATATGGAGCCGAAGCCACCTAACATCCCATCAATACTTGCGGGTTTTTCTGACCAGAATCCTGTGAATTTCGCAGGATATTTCCTTTTAACATGTTTACGAAAAGTATAAACGTAAATTAGATAATTAACATGCCTAATGCTTCTGAATACCAGCCTTCATTTTTGAACTCTGATAAATCCTTGTTCTTAAGGTAAAAATTAGGTATCAATAGTGAAGAAACGAAACGTGAAAATGCAAGTAAAAGAATAATACCGCGTCTGTCATTTCTCAAAAATTATAAAGAGACTAGAGTACATGATCGATATTTTCATCAAAATATCTGATACTGTTTTAATTTACTTCTACGTATAAATAAATCGAGGGATAAAATTAAATGGTTTTTTTTAACGATCAACTGATTTTTTCACCCTCCTCCTCCACCAATTGAAACCCTTCAAGGAACCATTTATTGATTTCTTCCACTTCATCTTGAGATCGTTCTTTTTTCTTTTCATCATCACCATCATTATCATCAGAAGAGACTTCATCAAACCACACTTTCAAACCATAATTGATACACAATTCTTTTCCAGACTCGATATCGCATAATGTATAATATCTGATCACGTTCGCCTCGAAATCCTTCACGTATCCTACATTATTATTTCGTGAATGGTTAAATAGAGAACCTAAACCGATAGCTAATGCTAATTTTTTATTAACCAATGTTAATATCGTAATAAGAGCGCGTCAAATACGAATTATTGGGTCACGTGAATACCATAGCCATCTTTCCAGCGATACTATATAATAGAAAGTTATTCATATTATAGAATGACAGAATCGATTATATTAATTATAAGTATTGTGATGTATACAGTATATTGTTTTAAAATTGTATGTTTTCCATGTTCTTCATATTCGGAATGCGAAAACAAAAGAATTGGTGAGATTTCTATTAATGTACGTGACAAAATTGATGATTTTGAAAAAACACCGCGCCCTTTGTGTGGTGTCTGCCGGATTTCGAGAGGAACAGACGTCGTTAACGAGATTGACATGAGAAAAAAAGATGCCGCGTGTTCTTTCTTATTTTGAAATTTAAGAACATTGGGAATTCGATTGATTGGCACGTGATCATGAATACAAAAACAAACTACATCTATTCAATTAAGTAGTTTTACATTGCCACAGTAAACAATATGATCGAAAGTATCCTACGCCATTATGGCTCAGCCCTTTGGCCAATGTTTGAAAGCGTAGTGTCGTGGAATAATCACTATGACTCGTTTATAATGGCTCTTAGTGCCTATATCTGGATCTCTCTTCCAGTAACAGAGTCATAAGCTCTTCGCATATTCTGAAAGGCACACCAGACTTCCTTTTCAGATTAATGTGCATCTTCGAATAAGTTGTTGATTATGTGTAATAGGATTGCTATTGAGGTGTTTTGTAAGATGGAGAAATTATTACCTTGGAGAATATTATGATTTTTGCATGTGATAGCAATTTTATTGGTTAAAATTTTGGATAGAATTTTTCTAGCATTTTCGATTAGAGTAATGAATCTTGTGAGATCTAAATTACCTTTCCAATCCTTATGTTTGGGGATGAGTGTGATTATAGCGTTTTCTATTCATTTGGAATATTTGAAAGAAGGAGATAGTTGTTGAACAGCTTGAGTAGTTGTTGTTTAATTATAGTGCTAGATTTTTTAAGAAGTATGTTTTGAATACCTGATAGGCTGGATGCTTTGAAAGATGCTGAGTTATTTAGTGCATTATCGAATTTTTCTTGTGATATGAGATTTATAATGGAATTAAATGTATTGTTTAAGATATAGAATTTTGGTTGATATTGTTCTTTCCAGTCATCAAAGAGCCAATCTTTGATGTTCCTCTTTCTAGTCTATTGTTTGAAATGTTGTTTAAAAGCGTTGATAACGTTTGATAGATTCTCAATGAATCTGTTATTATGGATGACTTTGTCGATGAATATAGTTTTTAATGGCTTTTTGATAATGTTGGAAATCATGTAATCCCAATTACATGAGAAGAATTTTTGATTGTTTTTGATAGCTATTTGAATTTTGTAAGATTTATTGAGTTTGGCTTCTGTTTTTTTGAAGGTATGTAATTGTGATCTAATTTCTGATAAATTGTGTATAATATCGTGAAGATTAAAGACTTTGTTTTGGTTGAGTTTGGTGATGTTAACTGCTGGAATTAGATCTTTGATTTGTGATATTATATTGTTAATATAATTAAAATTGTCTATTGATATTATTTTGTGTAGATGGATTAAGTTACTGATTAGATATATGGCTTTTTGTATGTTAGATAAGTTTTTTGATAGAGAATTATTGTGTGTGACCAGTTTTTTTTCAGATTTTTTTTGGCTGCGAATAGTATAAATAATTAAGAGAGATGTTATGCTCTATTTGATTATTTAAATAATAAGTTTCTAAATTATTATTGAATGACTGCCAGGTTTCTTCAGATATATTTTTTGTAACGTATGCGTATTTTTTTTGGTCCATTTGTTAATGATACTTTTAGGCATGTTAAGTAAGAAGAAGTTAAGTGAAAAGTCTGAGATGATCATTTTATAATCAGCATTAATCTATTCTAAATCTATAATAACAGAGTGTCTGAGATAGCTAGTGATGAGAGAGCAACTCCATATCATGTCAAGCTTCCTGGTAATGTTATTTCTTTTCCATATATAACAATCTGAGTTAGGATGACTTTCATTGAAGTTTTCTCTAAAGTTTTTAAATGATAGCATGTTAACAAGATCATGTTTTGAAGGTTGCTAGTAGTATTCATTGAAGTCTTCTAGTATAATGATCTGATCATTGCTGTGTGATAGTTTATTAATATATTTACCCTGTAAAAAAAAATAAAAGACAAAAATCAGGAAAAAATCCAGTTTTTTAGTTCCGGAAAATCACAGGTTTTG